TTTTTTTTTTTCATTTGCAGTTAACAGCTCTTCTATGAAAGTGTGGTGGCTCTTAAAAGAGCCGTTGGGATTATGGTTTAAAACCCTTTTATTTAGAGCTGGTGTACTTGGTGACAGCCTTGGTGCCCTCGGAGACAGCGTGCTTGGCCAGCTCGCCGGGCAGCAGCAGCCGCACGGCCGTCTGGATCTCCCGCGAGGTGATGGTGGAGCGCTTGTTGTAGTGCGCCAGGCGCGAGGCCTCGCCGGCGATGCGCTCGAAGATGTCGTTGACGAAGGAGTTCATGATGCTCATGGCCTTGGAAGAGATGCCCGTGTCGGGGTGCACCTGCTTCAGCACCTTGTACACGTAGATGGAGTAGCTCTCCTTCCTGGTTCTCTTTCGTTTCTTGTCACCCTTCTTCTGCGTCTTGGTGACGGCTTTCTTGGAACCCTTTTTCGGTGCTGGAGCAGATTTCGCCGGCTCAGGCATCCTTAAAAGTTTGTTTCCAAGATCTTCACTGTATTTCAGTAACATCGAAAATGGCGACGGCCCCCTCTATTTATAAGGGCGTTATGCAAATTAGGGGATTGTAATCGTTCCATTCCTATTGGAGTGAAAAATACTAACGTAATTAGAGCGACTTCCGTCCTGTAACTGTCATAGCTTAAGCGCGGCATCTACACCACCACCAGGCTTTGCATTTATGGTGATGGCAGTACTGCCTTAGTAGCGAAAAAATTTATCAAAACACATGATAAAAGCTGCATTAAATTTACACTTACTAATTAATTATTCGAAAGTCTGATCTTAGTACACTAGGCATTTTGCAGTATTCACGGTTTCTTTCAGGGTAAGGCTTAGAAAAGTAATTATACCTTGAGGCAACTTAGAAATTTTTAAACTGTTAATGTATCGAAATATTTAACATTGTAAGTGTATATAAAACTTTTTAAAACTCCGACATCTAGTAATAAACAGCTCTCATTGTGATATTTGTGGGTGGCTCTGAAAAGAGCCTTGGTGTTTAAGCAGTGCACGGTTTGAGATGTGAGTTTAACCGCCGAAGCCGTAGAGAGTGCGTCCCTGGCGCTTAAGGGCGTAGACCACGTCCATGGCAGTCACCGTCTTCCTCTTGGCGTGCTCGGTGTAGGTGACGGCGTCACGGATCACGTTCTCCAGGAAGACCTTCAGCACGCCGCGCGTCTCCTCGTAGATGAGCCCCGAGATGCGCTTCACGCCGCCACGCCGAGCCAGGCGGCGGATGGCCGGCTTGGTGATGCCCTGGATGTTGTCGCGCAGCACCTTGCGGTGGCGCTTGGCGCCCCCTTTACCGACCCCAGCACATGGCCCCGCCACTCCTAAGCTCACACTGCACGCAGCCCTCGCCGCGGAGCTGCGGTATATTCCCCGAGAGCCGACCTGGTTGAGGACTGCGAGGGGCGGCGGGGAGGCGGGGTCTCGGCCGCAGTCCCCCGCCCTTTCC